CAATAGAAATCAATGGCAGATATTCTGGAGTCCTCCACTCCCTCTGCGCGCTATGCGAGGTACCAACTAAGACTAGGAGTCACCATCACGGGCCGGAGAGAATGAGGTACACCCCCTTGGTTCAATCTTGGTACTTCACAACGCAGGCAGAGACAAGGCCATATGGCACAAAAAAAGAAAAAGAGAAAAGAGAACAAAATGAAAGGAAACAGTAAGGAAAGAGAAAAAAAATTAAAACGAGCGAGGACGGAAAGGGACTAGGCCGAAAATAACAAGAAATAAGAAACAGAACAAGGCACACGGTGGAGAGACCACTAACGACCAGCAAACACGCAAACATGGCCACCAACCAGCGATACATTGTAATGGTACGTCATCACTGGTGGGGGGTTGGTGCAATGGTGCAGCGTTGGGGGGGGAGGAATTGGCTAGAAGGAGTTCAATCCGGCACGTATCGCGCCACTCGGTCCGTCACTTCTCGTTTGCTTTCTTCCCTCCCCGTCTCGTCCGTCTCCTGCCCCCCTCCCGCCCCACTGGTTGGTGGCTTGTGGTTTCGTTTGAGCGCCCGTTGTCGGCTGGCCTCTTCTTCCTTCTCGTGCCAGGAGGTCATGAACCTCTCAGCTCTCTGCAGCACCGCCGCCTGCCAGGGTACTCCCCCCTCCACCTTCGCGGCTTCAGTCCACTTTATCTTCGGTGCCGTGTCTTTAGGTACCGGGATTCCGAGATAACATGAATCGGTTTTCGTAGATCCGTGGTCGGCCCCGAATACCTTCAAGTCGTCGAGCACACACTTCGGCTTGTTCTGTTCCTGTTTCCCCCTACGTCGCCTCTCCCCCCCTGCCAGTTCGCCGAACATCAGTCGTTTCGGGAGTCGCCCGTCCGGCTGCCTTGCCAATGCTCCCGCGAACAGTAGGCGTCGTTGTCGGATCGTGGCTTCAACGCTCTGGCATTCGACCCTCTTCAGCGTCTGGGCGTAAGCGAGCTACCGGTAGGTGTCTTTCTTGCGTTTGTACCCGATAACTCGAAGGAGCAGTCGGTGGTGGATCGACCGCAGTGTCTGATAGTGGCCGCTGAGTGGTGACCATGTCATGCAGCCGTACAGCGGTGCCTCCATCGCTTCCGCCTGGAGCAGTCGGATCTTGAGTCGGAATGGCGCTTGCGGTCTGTCGAAGAGCTCCCGGCCATATCGCCTGAGGCACGCCCACGCTCCTCTGCTCCTGTAGTTGATCTCCCGGGTGAGGTCGCCATGTTCGTTGACGAGGCCATCGAGGTACCGGAACTCGGTCGTCTGGGCGTATTTTTGTCCCGCGGCTTCGATGGTCAGTGGTGAAGGCGGGGCGGGCTGTGATGTTGCAGTCGGCTTGTCGCCAGTCCTTCTGCAGACCTCGATACGACGCCGGCATCATCAACGATGATGGTCATCACTCTCGCCAGTCCTTCTGCAGACCTCGATACGACGCCGGCATAATCGGCAAACAGCATCCCCCATACTGCCCTCCGTACTCGGTCAAGGGGTGTTTCCTCCCCCCCCCCCGCTTCCGTCTTCCCCTCCTCCAAGCACACCAGGCTCCGCAGAACAACATCATCCTCGCTGAATCGGACTACATGAAGTTGGCATGATGCTAACAACCCTTGATTGGTTAAACTACTGAGCTCACATACCCACCTATTGCAAAAGGAATTACTTCATTTGGAACAGAGTTAAATAAGAATTGCGAGGTCAGAATTCAAACTGTTGTGTGAGGGTTCGTGTGGTGGTAAGCACCCACCGGCACGCGTGTGTGTGCGGCCGCACGGGTGCGTCTACATCAGGCTGGCAAGACACAACTAAACCTTGATTGATTGTCAAACAGCTTACATGCTCACCTATTGCAAAATGGTTTACTTCATATGGGTAAGTGACGCTCAGTCATGACAAGGTCAAACCTCAAACTACCGCTGTGAAACCTACGCGTTATTGGTAAATATCCGCAGGCACGTGCACGGCCGGGTGTAACGCACATCGAAAGCAGGCCAAAACAACGCATCACACAAGAATTCCGTGTGTAGTATTTATCGCATTGGGTGTACTGTTCGTGCTGGCCACATGTCAACGGAAAACTGTGAAGTTGGACGTGTTGATCTGGAAACTGCCACCGACAGTTGGTGGTGGTACGGCGAAGAAGAGCACCGCTGCTTTCCAAAGTTGAAGACTGACCACTAATTTATTGTCGTTTATTTTGTGTGACGATACCCAACCTCGCTTTCAGGGTGGTTTCATGATCGTGTGCAATCACTCAACTCCATGGCTAGCCAGGACAGAAGACGTGGTTTGCTGCGCCCCCCTGTGCTGTTGCCCCCGGCGGTGGGGGGTTATACACCGCCCGTGTCCCTGCGGCATCCGGCCGCTGGCCAACAGACGGAACCCATCCGCTCCAGCTGCTGCGAGAGGCAACGAATTTGGAACGCAACGTCGCGAGCGCGGTTAGGGGGCAGTACAGACACCTAGGGAGGTAGAGCGAAGCGCCGGGCGCAAGATTCTGGGGCCCGGTTGAAAGGTTCGGGGCGAAGATCAGGGAAGAAGCGTCAGCTACGGAACTGGACAGATACCGGGAGCTGCCTTTACTGTGTGCGCCTGCGGGCAAGAAAACAGCCCAAAACTTGCGAGACCGCCCTTTTTTTCACGGCGACTTTGGCAAGGGGAAGGTCGTGGCCTTGGACGGGAGGGTGTTCCAGAGGCAAAGTGGCAAGCGATTCTACATGCCCCGGCAATCGCGTTAGAGAAGATGCGGGGCTTTATGCTGAACTTCAAGAAGGGCAGGACCAAGAAGGGGGTGGGGGGGGTGTACTCAAAGTCGTACATGCCGTAGTCGTTAGACCATTGACCTCGCATCCCTACAAAGCCGGGACGGAGCACGCCGGGTTCTCACCGGACCAGGCTCTCACATCACCAAGCGCGAAGCGCCGTGAGATATTGGGCGAGTCGCATGAAGGGTGCGCTGCATCCTCCTAAGGGTGTTCGTCATCTTGTGCTTAGTTTCTTGCGTACACTGGGGAGGGGGGGCTTGTTTTACAACGTCGTTGCCAGGCGACGAAAACCCAACCCCGATGACAAACACCGGGGGGCAAGAAGGGAGCGACCAAAAAGAACCTTTTTTCCATCCCGACTTTAAACACAGAGAAGAAGTCGACGAGGAGCAAATGGAGGTCGTCAAAGCTGAAGGATACAGTTGGCAACGCCCTCGCGGGGGGGCAAGAGAAGGCGACGGCCTTGAACGTGTTTGACGCTGTCGTAGGGAGGGGGTCGTTGACCGAGGAGCAAGTTGTGGACATTGCGACGAAGATTGGAGCATCGACGCCGTTTGGCATGGCAAATGCTAACGGAGGTGAGGGCGAGATCAATGGATCTATGAAGGGGGGAGAGAGGAGGGGGCGGGGTGAAGGGAGAGACAAAGTGATGGAAGAAGAGGGAAGCATTTTTTTTTTTTGCAAAGACAGAAACACACGACCCGCAAATTGCTAACGGCGAATCGTTACCATGATAGAAAGTTGACGGCTACAAAATGTTTTCGTGTATCGTAGTGCCTAACCTAACGGTGAGGGTTGAGCGTTGTCGGTTTTCTTCATTTTCGACGATCGGAACGGTGATAGTATGTTCCCTGCACCATGACATTGTTTTCCCTGGGTGAATCATACATACGCGTTCCTGCACTGCTGTTGTAATTTTCGTTCTCATTTTTCGTGCGAACTACCTATGTATGACCTGCAGGGATACTACGAGGTACTCAGCAGAGTCTGGAATTGTTTTTTGTGAAGACAACAGCTCACAACGCTGCGAAGCCACGCACCAAACCCCCACGTCGCCAACGCCACCCCGTTCTCCCCCACCCACCCCAATCCCTTCCCAATGTCCATCACGTGCGTTGGTCAAATATCGTTACAGGGGCTAAGCATGCCAACAAATTCGCAGGCCCGACGAAGTGGCTCCAAGATTTCAGCTCCGACGCAGTCGCCGACGAGCTTTTCTACACCGCGCGTGCCCACAGCGTGGACCTGCTTGTGTCAATACATCAAGGCGTAAGGCAACGGGACTTGGAGGGTGGGAAACAGGGGATTTTCAAGTACTGCGTGAGCGAGGTGGACTCGAAGCGGCGGATGAAAGCGGATCTGCTCTGGAAGGACAGACAAGATTGGGTAGTGCGCTTTATCGTTCGACCCAACATCGACGGACCCAACGTCTCGTCGCAGTACCAATCATGGCTTCGTGACAACCAGAAGACGGCTCGAGATCGTATCGCCGCGCACCTCGCCATGGATATCCTCGACGACAAGAGGTGGACCGGGGACTGCACGCCCAAGGGAGTTGTGGCGTTTTACGGTGTCGGGGGCGAGGCTGGGTCACCTGATGCCGCCGACCCCGCGGTCAGCTCCGGGGGGGGCTTACCGGGAGGACCAGCCACATCACCAGAGGTACCGGTGCAGATTGACAGCGTCGAAAGTAGCACCGTGTGCTCTGGTGGGGACGGGACCGATGAGGGCGGAGTACCAACGCTTGCGGAGGACCCTCTTTTCCACTACCGAAGGGGCGTGGGTCGTTCTGTACAACAAGAACATGGCCCCAACATCGGTGAGGCCGAGCTGTATCTCGTCCACTTCATCGTGTGGGCCAACAAGTATTGGGGACTGAATTTCGACCGGCTTGATGGACACAGGCCGATGGATGATCATGTTGCTGGCGATGAGTACGGGGTTCCTCAAGGCCAATGGAGAGGGGGCGGTTGATGTGGCCGTGCAGAAGGTTGTGGGTGGTGCCCCGACACCTTAGTCCACTTTTCCCAACCCACATGCTTACCGCGTGCGCTTTCCGTTGTTTGCCTTCGCTGCTTTTGCCTGTGTGTGACAGAATGGTGGCCGTCACGACGACAGGTTCCTCCGGGCGAAATAGCTTATAGTGGAGGAGAGACCTTGGAGAATAGGTTGTGGGGAGGGTGTGCTTGTGTGGGGGTGGGTGGGAAACGCACGAGCTGGGTAGATAGGTGGCACCACCACTCACTGTTGGCCTCTTTGCTGCGATCCTTGCCTTTATTTTATTTGTGATGGTTCGCTTCTGGGCTCCTATGGTGTACAATCCTGTGTGTGTGAAGTTATGTTGTGTACTCGTCTTGTTGTGGTGACGAACCTGCCGTATTTTTTGGAGGCAAGGACTGCTGTCTACTCCGACCATGTTTTTCAGCGTGTGTGACGGTTTGGAGTCAGTATTGTACGTTAGGCTTTTTTTGTTTTGTCACTTTTGGCGCCGCCGAAAATTGTAGTGATTCGACAGGTTTGTTTTTGACATTGGGCGGACGTTAGAAGCACTCTTGCTTGTACATAGTATGGAATATTGCTCGACCCAATTAAAATAAAGTGTTCGACAAAATATGGCCCTTCTTCTACGGTAACGTCGTACGTGTACTTGGGCGGCGGTGAGGTTGTCGTTCCACCCTATCCTGTTCACGCGTACGTTACGCTCTCCGTGGACAGCCCGGGACCTCACCCTACCACACTTTCTACGCGAAAAAAGGTGTGCGCCCTACAGGTGATGTATTCCCACAAACTTCCAGAGACATTAGTGCTTGGTATTTTTTTCAAAAGGTATGGTCTACTACAGTAGCACTATCATCGACCGGGTTTCGCTATCCCCCGGGGACTCAAGGCGCTTTTTCGAACGTCATTTTTGTGTCTCTTATTCAAGCCCTTATTCCAGCCAGAACGGGGTCGACAAAAAATATGATCGCGAAAGAGAGCTCTGAGGTAGTGAGGTGTGGGCTCTCGTTTTGGCACCGCCAATTCTTGTTTTTGTCCCGCAGTTTTTTCGCGGTGCAACAACACCGCACAGACAGGTAGGTGGGTTCCAGTTCAAAAGTTTGGTGCACGCCGAATACGCGTACTCCGCTTGCACTGCATGAAGAAAGGTAATTCAAAGTGCTGTAAAACCACGAAAGGAGCAGGTACAAGATGCGAGGCATCCCGTTGTCAGCAGTCGTGAGACACCTAAGCACAAAGCCTGCGCGTGGATGCCGTTTTTCGACCACATCCGTCCCTCCCACCGGCTACGTGGAACATATCACTGCCAGGATTTGTCATCCTACTCTCCATACAGCAGGATGCTTTCGTGCCAATTTTCGTGCCAATTGGCAACGTATTTATCGCGTTCTTGTGTTCGCCAGGAAAGTGCCATGGGCTCGGCAGAGGTTCCGCCGCGTCTAGCTTTGCGTGCTGTGCGCTTTTCCATATTTTTCTTGGGCCGAGTTGATTGAGATCTCTCTTCACTGCTGAGTTATAGCGCTGTGGTGTATGGAATTCCATCCTACTTGGGCCTATCGCTAACTTTTGGAGATATCTACCGCCATAGTGCTTCATCTTGGAGGGGTGGCTCTGCTGTGAGCGTGTATTGCATGGTAGAGTGCGCATTGGCGCTTACGTACGTCTGATTACTTTTTCTACGCGCAGCACTGCTGTGTGACGTGACCACACCACATGGAAAGGGAAGCCGCTTGTGACACATATTTAACCTGCATACATACATCTCTTGAACATGGCCGCTGCACGGCATGTATGTGAGATTCAGAATCGATCCACATTGATTACCGAAAGCCGCGAGATGATTCACCTTGGTTTGCGAGGGCATGCTTCCCACACATCACACGCATGTCTTTTTTCATGTTCAACGCGCCCCAGTCATTCATGTGCAACATCAATGCGCCGTCACCCCCGGGGTAGGTGTGTGCCTCTCTCTGTCTGGCTGTGTGACCGAGGGTGCTGCTTACGTACTCACTTGTGTACAGAAGATGTCATGCATAGATTAGACATACATCTAGCGGTCGGTATTATTAGGGGACACCCCCCTACTAGATCGAGAGGTGGAAAAGTTTTTTGTTGAAACACGTACCTGCAAGAGGCTCGTGCGTTGCTACAATTGGCCCGTTTACTACACAGCAGTATTACAATATATTGATTGAGGTGTGGGAGGCGCCAATCAATGTTGTTGTTGTTGCTGCTGTTTTTCACATTAGCTCTTCTTTCGTCCGCAAAAAATGGGGAGCCCGTGGTCTCAAAACCCGACACATAAGGCACTACGCACCAGGGTATGGGAGTAACGGAGCAAACAGGACAAAGAGGCGGCAGATGGGCAGACAGCCAGACGTACAATAATAAAAATGGCAACAGCAAAATCGAGATCCAGGTACCTAACACAGCGAGCAGGCAGGGAGGGGGGGGGGCGTACTCTTATGTTTTGCATGCCTTAGCGGTTAGACCATTGACCACGCGTCCTCGAGAGGACGGAGCATTGTTCCCACAGGACCGATCACCGATGGCCAATCGTTCCTTTCTACTTTGCCAAAGGTGGCTCAAAAATGTCTTCCCTAGTCTGTCTATCCTAACGATATCCCTTCCCGCCTTTTCAACCCACCTCCTATGCCCCACTACAGCTACCGTCCTTTCCTCTCTATTCCATGCCTCAAACATCTCCCTGTACGTCCTATCCATTTTTCCCAGCTCAGTCACGTACTACACTTCCCTCTCCTTGTACGACGGACGTTCCGCGACTACTCCTGAACACGGTCTTCGCATTCGAAGCCGCAATCACATTTGAACTCGTCGTCTTCCTCGTCTACCGTCCTATGTCTTCGTCGACGTTCTCGAAGGCCTATGTCCCCGGTCCTGAATTTGACCTTAAGCTTTGTTCCTGCATCCATTGGTCCATGTAGGTAGTCCTTGAACCCTATTCCTTCCTTCAACATTCCGTACACTTCTAGACCCTCCTTATCCTTGGATTCTTTCCTCAGATTCTGTTCTTCTCTCTCGGCACAAGCAACAGATATCTTCTCCTTGAACCCCTGTAGACCCTCCGTTTCCAGCGTTTCATCTTCGTCGATGTCGAGCCCCTTCCATACGACCTCTACAACCTTGACCCATTCCGTGGGTTGTCTACCCCTCTTTTTGTTTGCCCACTTCGCCTCCCATACAATTCTCGGCAACCTCTCCTCTCCCATCCCGCACATGCGATACTGCCAGGTCAGCTTCCTCGCGTCTCTTCCCGACCGTAGGGATTGGATCCCCAATTCTGCCCTCACGGCTGCATTACTTGTGCGCGTGGAGCATCCTAGGATGATTTTCGCTGCTTTCATCTGCGCCGCCTCTAGTTCTTTCACTACCTTCATATTTCCTTCCCATACTTCTCCGGCGAACTCTAGCGGCGGTAGTATGATTACGCTCTTGACCGTCAATTTGATGCGTGTATCGAGGTGCCGGTTTGCGAGTATTGGGTGCAGCTTCCCTGCTCGTGCTTTGCCCTTTTCCGCTACCTTGGACATGTGTGCATTCCACGAGCAGTCTTTTGCGATCTCTACGCCGAGGTATGTGTACTGCTGGTCCATTATAATCTCCTCGATCCCCCACTTCCATCTATGTTCTACTGGTTCCTCCTTGTTCTCGTTGCATACCATGACGGCACTCTTCTGAACGTTGGCAGACAATCTCCACTTATCAGTAAACTTCTTCGCCGCGTCAATTTGCAGTTGCAGTCCCTCAGGGGTGTCCGACATACCGACAAAATCATCCGCAAACAGCATTCCTGAAACCGACGTTTCCGTGTCCCCTACTTTTACTCCCTTCCGGACTGCCTCTACGACTTCCAACAGATCGTTGATGAACACCTGGAACAATGTTGGGGACAGCGTGCAACCTTGTGGGACCCCCTGCTCAATGTCGAAGAATTTTGACAGTTCTCCGTCTAGCATGACCGCGCTTTTCGTGCACTCTGTCATCTTCTTCAGCACTCTCCACATTTTCCCCGTGATCCCGTATTTGGACTGTTGTTTCCACAACCCATTTCTCCATACGGTGTCGTATGCCTTTTTAAGGTCCAGGAAGAAGCAGTACGTCGGCTTTCCCGCCCTCTTATTACCTTGGATGATTATTCCTACCGTGAATACGTGGTGTACGCACCCCCTCTTCTTGCGGAAACCTGCCTGGCCCTCACT